CGTTGATGACCTTGGCCTCGTCATACTTTGGGCTATACCCAGCATGTCTTGATTGACCTGTGTTCCACGGATAATGGTCAACGAGTTCCACTAGGTTAACCCAACCATCATGATCATCGAAAGATTCCAAGCGCCACACAGGACTGTGTTGCTTGTCTGGCGCATGTCTGCATATCCTGCTGAGAGCTTTGCTCAGCTGTTTGAGAATATCATTGGATGTGGGAAGGATTCCAGCTTTCCTGCATTCCTTCATGAATGTCTCATCCACCGAGCGTATCGGTGGGAGCTTCCGAAGCGCAAGTCTATCCCTGATCACATTTGGAGTCCCACTAGTGAAAGACGTGTCACCTGGGTGGTGCAGCTGAAACACTGGCGGGTTTCCCCGCATCGGAGCCTCTGTTGCTGAAGAGGCTGCGGCTCCAGAAGAGGAGGAAGCTGCGGCGGCAGCGCCTGGCGGGTTTCCCCGCGGAGATGCGCGACTGACGCTGCCCCTGATCTTCGGCACCCAGGTACCCCTCGACATAGCTCCTTCATCGGACCTCCTGGAACGAGCCGCCACAGGCGAAGCTGGCGCAGGTGCATGCCCACTGCGCTCGAAAGCTGCCGCCCTTTTCGCAATGGAACTGCTGCGACTAAGCGGGCGTCTTCGTTCCTCCATAGGGTCCTGAGGTTGCTGCTTGGGCACAGACGCTTGTGGAGGAGTTGCGCCAATCGGCGGCTTCGGCGTCGCAGATCGAGGCACCTCCATATGCGCGTCTGGCCCAGGGTCCTGAGGGCTCGTCTTCGGTTTCGGCACCGGGGGCGGCTTAGGTATCGGGGGTTCACTCTTGGCCTTCGAAGTATTGGGAGTGGGGGCCTTGTAGCCCTCTTCATGTAGATCTTACTAGAATATTCCAACATCTTGCGAGTTGCCTCGCGAGTGCGGTCTTCTGCTGTCCGCGTACGCTCCTCATCCTCCGCCACACGTTGAGCCTTTATCTCGTCCTTGATTGTCGGTTCTGGTTGTTGGGACTGGCTAGAGACGCCGGGCGAGTTTCCTCGCATGCTAGGAAGACTGAAGAGCGCGTCTTTCTCTTCCTGGGTCATGGCTACCAGTCCCCTTGGAACCGGGGTAGGCTTTTCTTCTTCTTTCGGATCCAAGTGGCCCAAGACCCCGAGACGATGATTCACTTCCGCGATCTCGTCTTGCGTCATCGGGATAAGTGGCGGATGGCCCTCTTTAGGAGGGGTTTTGCCCCTGTTGGGACTCAGGCCTTCGTTGTTGCCAACGGGGCATCCTGGCCTGTGATTCTGGAACGGCTGGGAACAAGGTCCGCATGCTGCGTGAGGCCTATACTGCTTGCCCGCCGCGATAATATCTCGTAACTGAGTCCGCACTTCTTGAATTTCAGGGCGGCGGATGTTTGTTGCAAGCTGATAGCCTCCGCGGATGGGCTTGCCATCACTGTCCCTATAGGCAGGGTTGCCCTGGCCAAAGGCCGAGTGTTCCCCTTTTCGGCGTCTTGGGTCGTTGTACGGAAGTAGCTGGCCACCTCTCCTGAGAGCGTGTTCTTTTGGGCCAGCCTGTCTCCACTCACGAGGAAGTCGAGCCTGGGGATGTGGCTCTTCTCTGACGCGCGTATGGGAACGAGATCTTCTGGTGTTCTCATCAGAGGAAGCTGCCGATGCAGCAGGAGCGGCACCCGGTGGAGGTGCCTGAGGAGGCTCCTGTGCGATCCCAGATGGATCGTCCGATGGAGGCAGGTCTCCCTGCTGGGTGGAGCTCGGCGCAAGTGGCGCTTGTGCCGATGGTGATGATGATTCAGACTCATCAGGGTCGAAATCGACCTCTTCCTCACCATTCACGTCCATCATGAGGATGGTGACATCATCCTCATCTAACCCGCAGCCATCGCCATCTACTTCTTCTGATGTCGAACTACCAATGATGATGGCCATTGGCGTATCTGGTACAGGCAGGTTTCCCTGCATAGCCGGCGTCTGGGCGTCGCTCGGCTGTCCCGGAGTAGGAGGCATTGTTGTCGGCTCAGGCTCGTCGCCGAGCATAGGCTGCCCAGCAATGTTACGCATGGCCGTATGGTTCGGCCTCATTCCCACCGCCTGGAGACCCCATCCTGGCGGAGGAAGATCATGACCGCGCATAGCCATCGCCATTTCCAGAGCACGACGCCATCTACCACGGGAGTATATCAAGTGTCTCTGCACTTCCTGAGGATACACGCTGTCAATGAGAGTCAGAGCTGCCAAAAGTAGCTCTGAACTACCGCAAGCATCATTACCCTGTTCTGTCATGATGTCAGCTTCGATGTGTTCTTGACTCTCAGGATGACCAATTGGAAGTATCTCATGCATCCTCATGAGGGTCTGCAAAAGGGTACGTGGTCCATATACAACTGGAGCAAGCGAACCAGGAGGTATGAACGGAATATCTGGTTCGCCTGCAATGAAGGCCTGAACAAATGCCTGAGACTCCATTTCAATTAAGTCTTCAGTGGTCTGGGGATATTCTCCCATCACAGAAGGCCTGTTTCCAGGCGGGGTTTCGGACGGAGGTTCAAGGTTTCGTTGAACCTCGGAAGGCGAAGCCTCTATAGTGGTGTCCTCGTCGTCACTCTCGTAAGCCATGATGTTGCCTGGGTTCCCGAACATCCAGTCGAAGAATGAAAGAGGCTCGTTTCCAAGCGCACCGTGTTCCACGGGAGTGAGTTCGCTACTGCCCGTGACGAACCGGCGGACGTACTCGAGGTAGTACGCGTACAATCCATGACCATACCCCTCGAGCTCGTCGATGTTGTCCGTGCCAACTACCCAAGTGAAAAATATCTGTTCCATAGCCTCAAAGTCCTGGAGGCTCAGATATTCAATGGATGGTGCACTTGAGCCAAAATGGACTTCGGACGACATGCCCTTTCCATTCCCCTTCGCTGGACAATCTCGCACAAGACGATCGGAACTACCACATTCATGGCATTTGAGAACCTGGCCGTCTCTACCTCGCGGGTTTCCCCGCCTACCTTTACCTTTACCTGAGGTCTCTCTACGGCCTTTACCACGGCCTTTTCCCCCAAAGAATATCTCATCATGTTGTTCATCTGAGAGCCTCTGGAGAAATGCCGCGATACCTCGCCCGTTCAACCTCCGACGACCACGCTTGCCTTTACCCTTTCCTTTAAAACTTCTGCGTATCCTCCTTCTAACACGACGCACTGGTTTTCGTGTGAACCTCCTCCACCTTCGTTTGGCCTGTTGTAACAGCCAGAATAAATGCTCAGCACGCTGATTGTCGTTATCCATATTCATGATATCTGACCAATCTAGAGCTTCAACACCATCTGATGATATAGTGTCTGTATCGGTGCCGGAGTCGAAGTCTTCGTCTCCTAAATAGGTGGATACACCGTCGGTTAGGGGATTTGATTCCCCCCATAACGAGCGGTGTGGTTGTGGTTCTCTAGAAGGAGGGCTGGTTGCCCAGCTTGGTTGTGATCGATCCCCTGCTAATAAAGCAGTGGATTCTCCTGGGTCATCGGCCCATATGCTTGAGGGCCCGTTTCCAGGCTGGGCTTCAGTGGTCAAGGTAGTGTAGAAATTTCCACTACCAGATCCCCTTCCCCTTCCAAACACAGATCCTATGTTGCCAGGAGACCGTTCGGATAGGTGGCCTATCGAACGCATCCTCTCCAGCAACTCATCATACTGTTGTTGTGTTCGAGGCATTTGGTGGTTGAGTGGCTGTAAGAGTTGCATGGCTTTCTGGTTGCCGACGCCTAAGGCGCGGAATAGGATAGTGGTTAGCAGTTGGAAGTTAGGAAGGTCGAATCCCACCGACTGTGCCTCAAGTCGGGCCATTTCGAATCGGGTAAGAGTGACATCGATTCGTTCCCCGTGAGGCACATGGAAGTCGATGAGTTGTGTGCCGGAAGTGAGCTGTCGCTCATCTTCCAGGCGTTCGAACTTCATGCTGAGGAGGAACATGATGTAAGTTACTGGGTCTGTGTGGACCCCATCAATATCAGCACCATAGTTTATAATGTCAGGCGGTACCCTCATGGCGAGTGTCCTCGCTAGGCCACCTAGGCCGCGTTGTATTGCGGCCGCTTGGGCCTGTGGCGTCATACGTCCGCTTGTAACGTTGAGCCATGCGTTGACCTCGTAGATGTACTCACGAAAAGGTACATTACCTTGAGGGTCCCAATATGGGCCATGTGTTTGCCCATCGGTGCTGTTATCTCCACGACGCATGTGTCCGATTGCTGCCCCCAGCGCGAACCATATGATAGCGAAAACGATTAGCCCGAGAATGTGTAACGAAGGACGGTTATGATGCGCGTTGTCGCGCTGGGGTAGCGCCTTGTCGAGTCTTCGAAGCGCTCTGTCTGGCGGGTCTCCCCGCCCTTGCTTCAAGCATTGCGCTGTTAGCTCGTTGCCGAGCGGTTGGTAGTAACGCAATGATGAAGCGTATATGGTACCGGTTTGGTCGTCTAGACGTCGTGCCTCTCGTGTTGCTTCTTGCTCTTGAATAGATCCTCGTAAACGTACTGGGAGTGGTGGCGCAGGGTGGTAGGTGGTCACGAATATCGTGCCGAAGAATATGAGGCTAAGAAGAGCAAGAGCTGACCACACGAGAGTGCGGCCAGCTCCGCTACCAAGTCGAAAGTGAGCCTGGTAGCTCAAATATGGCATATAGCCTGGCAAATTGCATCCATCGCTCTGCTGTGACGGTACAGTATGAGGGGTGGATGGATAAGATAGGATAAGATCGATGTAGTGATCTTTCCAGCACATAGCGAACACTCGCGGTGTCCGGGCAAATAGGGCGCGCGTGCCTTGAGCCCAAGGGAGCGGCGCGCGAGCTATGCTCCCGATACTGTAACATATCCCAAGGAGCTACCCTTAAAGTGTCCCTGCCACAACGGAAATAACACACAGCGTAAGTCCAGCGAAACAGCATTTGGGCCCAACCCTGGTGAATACCATGGGCCATGTGGGTGAAACTGGGCTCCTGCGCTGCAGGATCGTCAACGATCTTGCTGAGCAGCTTCTGGTGCAGCGTGGGGCACAACTCCTGGCTTTTGAAGGACGAGGGCGGCGAGGAGGTCCCCAATCCCCTTATCACCCCTCCGTGTCCTTATCCTCGTCCTTTTCGTCATCACCACTCTCGCCCAAATCCCCATTAATATATAATGCACGCAACCAACCTCCTGCCCTGAGTCGGGAAAGAGGATGCGGAGGATATCGAGAGAGGGGAGAGGGGCGAGGAGGAAGCAAGCCAGGAGCGCAAGCTTCATTTCTGACGGCCTACCCCCTCCCATCCCTCACCATTGCGTGGATCCCTTCTATTCGCACAATCGGATTGCCGAACGGGGCAATGATCCCGAGAGAATACGCGATGCCTGTGCTCGTAATGGGGCTGCTGTCGATGGTTCAAAACCAAATAGAGGATGCGCAAAACGGTCTAATACCGCGTTGGTTGCTGTACGTCATATGCTCGCCAACCGTGGCAGTTGGTCGTCCTTTCCGCTGAAGGTGGAGACTTGAACTGCGAAGATGATAGTCTAGTAATGTCGGCCGTGTTGATGTGTCGTCGCTGTCCTGATTGTACGAGCCGGTCATGTA